GCGTGCGTGCGTGCGTGCGTGCGTGCGTTGGGGGGGTTGCACTGCTGCTCCCTCGTCAGGTGGCATTTAAAGCCTGCAGGGCTAGGAACTGGGGTGGGGAAAGCTTTCCTGGCTTGAGTTCATGACCCTGCAGGCTTTGAAATCGCCACCCACCCACACTACCTAGCTTGGATTTCAGAGAGATTCAGAGGATTTCTACTGGTAGAAATGAATGGCTGTCAGTGGTCTATGGCTAATGTCTTACACAAAGCCTAAATTATACACGTTACCTATGGAAAAATACTATGTAATGGTTGGGAGGGAGGGGAAGGATGCAAGACATCCTTTCTAGCAGGTTTCTGTCTCAGCAAAGCAGCACTCAATGAACAAATACATTGGGCAGGCCGCCACCTCAGCTGCTTCATCTTACATTCTTTCATAGGAAGCCATTGCAGATCTCTGGCTTTTCTATATACAGAAAGGCAGTGAGTCTCAAGTTATAGAAAAAACAGGGCTGGGAGGGAGGGACCTCAGGTGTCTCAGTTCAGTGGTATTCAACCTTTTTGCCCAGGTCAGACTGGCAGTGGCTGGTCCATCTGTGGGCTGGATCTGGCTGGTGGACCCAATCTGGAGCCCAGGGTGGACGCAACCTGTCCTAGGGCCATGAGGACAGGGGTGGGGGACAACCTGGCCACAACCCAGGCCTGCAGGGTGGAAAAGGGGCTTGACCTGGATCCAACCTGGCCCTGCAAGGGGAGGGAGCATTGTTTAGCCCTGATCCAGATATTGGGGCAGGGGAGGGGGCATGGCCGAGCCCCAACCAAGGCCTGTGGGGGGGAAAAAGGGCAAGGCCCTACCCCGATCCAGCTGCAAAGGGAGGAGGGGGCATGGCCCAACCCATCCCTGTGGGAGGGAAAGGGGGCATGGCTCAACCCTGGTTCAATTGCTGGGGGGGAGGGGAGAAGGGGGCATGGCCTGACCCTGATTCAACCCTAGGGGGGAACTGGACATGGCCTGGCTCTGGTGGGGGGTAGGAAGAGGGGGCACAGCTACCACATGAAGCCTGGGGTTTGGGAATTTGGCAGTGGGGAGGGTGGCTGTATTAATGGCCACTGCTCCCCCACTGCCCAATTTTCTGACCTGCGGGGAGCTCTGCAGGTCAGATACAATGGCTCTGTGGGCCACATTTAGCCCCTGGGTCGGAGGTTGAGCACCCCTGATCTAGACCAAGCACCTGATCAGGCAGGATCATCCTTGTCTAAACCAACATGGACAAAAGCTTGTCTAATCTGCACTTAAAAACTTTCAGTGATGCAATTTCATAATCTCTCTTGTTGATCTAGTCTAATTCTTGACTGTTCTAATAATCAGAAAGTTCTTCCGAGTGTCCATCCTAATGCCTGGGTATACCTCTTTACTTCTTGTCCTTTCCTCTGTGGACAAAGAGAAAAATGGATCATCATCCTCTGTACAACACTTTTTGCATTTGAAAATTGTTATCAAATCACCTACCATTTTTTCCTTTTTCCAGACTAAATCATCCCAATTCTTCTAATCTATCTTCATATGTCATATTTTTAGCTCCGTATTTGCTGCCTCTTTTGGACTCTTTCTAATTTGCCCACGTCTTCCTGGAAGTGCAGCGTCTAAAACACTGTATGTATTCCAGGTGAGGCCTCCAGAGTGGGGAACAGAGTAGAAAAATCACTTTCTGTCACTTGTACATGACACTGCTATGAATTAGCCTTTTTCAGTCCTGCATGGTTTATTTATATTCAGCCAGTGGTCCACTGTATCTCAAGTATTTCTTTACAGTAGTGCAGCCTAGCCAGTTGTTCCATGTTTTGTATTTGTGCATTTGGTTGCTCTTTCATCAGCATAGTACTTTTTTCCTGATTACATCTGTTTATTTTAGACCATTTTCCCAACTTATCAAGCTCCAACTTGTCTGCTGTCTATTGTGCCATCTTACCACACTTTCACAGAGAAGAGTGATACCCAACATCCAGCCCTGAGCAGTTGTTGGTCCTCCTGCCATCAACATTCGGACCCACAGGGCCAAATGACACAGCTCCGCACTCTGGATCTAGCCTGTGGGACTCCCCACAGGTCCAGAAATTTGGCAGTAGATGAGTGCAGCAATGTTAATTTCTGTGGCTCTGGGAGCTGAGACAATTAACACCGTTACCACATGCCACGCCACCAAATTTCCAGACCCGTGGGGAGCTCCATGAGCTGGATCCAGCTTACAGGCCATATTTTGGTTATCCCTGCTCCAGACTGCATTTCCTTTGCTTATGTATGATAGCGTTGAGGGAGACCATATCAAAAGTACTTGCTACAGCCCTGGTATGACATGCTCCAGTATCTTTCCAAGTATTGTGGTTAGGCTGACCAGTTTAATTCCACAGAACCTCCCATTTTCCTTTTTAAAAATACAGGTACTGTACTTGCCTTTTCCCAGTCTCCTGGAACCCAACCTGACCTGTATGAGTTTCCACAAATAATAGTCAATGGCTTTGCAATTACTTCAGCAAACTTCTTGAATACCTTAGGATGAATCTCATCAGGCCCTGATGATTTTAAAACATCTACCTCCTTTAGGTAATCTCTAACCTGTTTTTCCCCCCACGAAGGTCATTATCCTTGCTGGTAACTGTGCTTGTCAGCTGACAGTTGACCTTTTTTGTCAAGATTGAAGTAAAAAAAGCATTAAATACCAAAGCCCTCTTTACGTTGTCCATTATTAGCTTCTCCTCCTTGTTCAGTAAAAGACCTAAACTTTCTTTGGCCTTCCTATTTCAAAGCATTTATTAATTTTTTTTTGTTGCTTTTAATATATCTTGCTAGCTGTACCTCAATTTATGTCTTGGCTTTCCTGATTTTATCCTTATATACCCTTATGCATTTCCTTAGTAAAATGGCCATTTTCCATTTTCTGTAAGATTCCTTTCTGAGTTTCAAGTCATTGAAGAGCTGTGTAGCCAAGCACGGCTTCTGCTGCACTTTCTAGCTTTCTTTCACACCAGGATTGCATGCTCTTGTGCTCTTATCAAAAAACAGTCTTCTCTCCCTTAGACTTGCTTCCCATGGGTTCCTGTCCACCAGTTCTGTGAATTTCTAGCAATCTGCTTGTCTGAATTCCTTCTTTCCTTCCCTCCTTCCTTTCTCTCTTAACATGAACTCTTATCATTTCATGATTTCCTGATCAATAGCATGCAACTTGCTATCCACTTTTAGGCTCTCATTCACTTCCTTGTTACTACTAAGCAGCAAATCAAGTCTCTCTCCAGTGTTTTTTCCACCGTCTATACCAAGAATTTACTGGACTGACAACACACTGTTACTGTCCTACCAGGTATCACAGTAATTAAAGTCCATAGTAAGCACCAGGTCCGGTAACTGGGATAATTTAGTTATTTAAAAGTGCTGTTCACCTTGTATGCTACTTTTGTTTTCCTAATACACTGCCTATATTTTCTTCCTCTTCCTAAACAAGTTGTACTCATCCATATCAACCTTCCAATTGTGTGAATAATCCCACGAAATCTCAGTAATCCCAATCAGGTCGCAATGTTGTGTGCATATTAGGACTTCCAGTTCTCCCTGTTTATTCCCCTATGCCTTACATTAGTATATAAGCACTTTAGGTATCTCTTATGGACTTGTTAAGATGCCTTATGATGAATCCATTTCATAAGAAGCATTTATCCAAATTACCTTGCTCTTTATTTATCAGGGGGCTTTTGTCTCCATCCCCTGTTAAACTCAGTTTAAAGCCCTCTCTTCTGCAGCCAATCCTCTATTCTGCTTGAGATGGAATATTATAGTGCTAGCTATATTATTGCAGTATTGAACCCCTTCAGTTTTACTCACCTGATCTGTGGGTGTGTAGTCTTCCATACTGACACTGTCAATTCTTTCTAGAAAGCTAGAAGAAAAACACAGCTGCAATTAGTCATGCAAAATCTTGAATACTATACAAAATAATTTTTGTGACCTTTTCAAGTTTTAGACTCTAGACATTTAATGCAGGACAGATTCATGTTTAAAACCTAAATAATTTACCTTCACTGAGTATATGTATTCTGTACCCAACTTCTTATTAACCAGTCCTTGCTTCAGTATACCTTAATACTTCACATACCATATATACCTTTCCCCGAGAAATAAGCCCCCCAAAATTGTTGTGTGCATCTTAAGGGGGAAGCTGATATTTTTCCTGAAGGAGAAGCAACTCGCCTTGATTCCTGTTCCATGGGGCAGCAGCAGTAGTGGAATTAGTATATAGGCAGTTCAGGGAGTCAGCTGACTTAATGGCTCATTTTTCTTTCTTCAGCAGGTGTTTCATAGATTTCATAGACATCAGGGCTGGAAGGGACCTTGGAAGATCATCGAGTCCAGCCCCCCGCCCAAAGGGCAGGAAGTCAGCTGGGGTCATAGGATCCCAGCAAGATAAGCATCCAGTTTCATCTTGAAGGTGTTCAATGAAGGCGCTTGAACCACCTCCGGTGGCAGGCTGTTCCAGACCTTGGGGGCTCGGACAGTAAAGAAGTTCTTCCTTATGTCCAGCCTGAAACGGTCTTGAAGTAGTTTGTGACCATTCGACCTCGTCATCCCTTGGGGCGCTCTGGTGAACAAACGTTCCCCCAGATACTGGTGGTCACCCCTGATAAACTTGTAGGTGGCCATCAGATCACCCCTGAGCCTGCGCTTTTTCAGGCTAAAGAGCCCCAGGGCTCTCAGCCTGTCATCGTAGGGTCTGCTTCCCTGACCTCTGATCATGCGCGTGGCTCTTCTCTGGACTCTCTCAAGCTTCTCCACATCCTTTTTGAATTGTGGAGCCCAAAACTGGACACAGTACTCCAGCTGCGGCCTCACTAAGGCCGAGTACAGGGGGAGAATGACGTCCCGGGATTTGCTTGAGAAGCATCTATGGATGCAAGCCAGCGTTTTGGTCGCTTTACTAGCCGCCGCATCGCATTGCAGGCTCATGTTCATCTTGTGGTCAATGACGACCCCCAAGTCTCTTTCTTCCATAGTGCTAGCCAACATAGCTGGGCTATGATGCTCGCCAGCTCCTTGAGTACCCTGGGGTGAAGATTGTCAGGGCCAGCTGACTTGAAGGTATCCAGCTTCTCAAGATGTTCCTTCAGAAAGTCAGCATTAAAGGAGGGCAGCGGATCACCCTCACCCGGACTTCCCGGCCCTGTAGCGGGCATGGGC